CTAACCGGCCATCCCTATATAGGATCCGAACCTGGGGCCTTGGTGTTATCAGCACCACACTCTCCTGAGTGAGCCACGGGCCAGCCCAAAAGCTTTATGGATTTTAGATCCTGAGTACTATATTAAAGATAATCCTTTCTTAGATTTTCTTATATTAATATGAGGAAAAAACTTGATTCCTTCAAGAAGGTTATTAAGAATAAAAATAAAGGAGAGCTTTCAGCATGCATTTCTTAGCAACACACTTCCTGTAACTGAATGACTATCTTGTGTTAACCTTTATGCCTTATGGTCAGAAATACATATTTAATATTTTGTAGCATTTTTACTTTTTGTGTTGTTTACATATAGATCTAAAAATTTTTTCTGGACCCATTTCTTAAACTCATCTTCAAAAAATTAGAAAAGATGGTAGAAGGCATATGTAAAAGAAACAGTTCAAAATTAAACTCTGCAAAGTTTTATGAATACGTTAATAACCCAATTCCCATTTATATACTAACTTTTGTAATATAAACCTTTTCATTTATGCTTTTTGAAGCCATCATGATTACCTGCTGTCCACCTGGACACAAGGATACCAACTTGGGAAGAAACCATATCACATAACTCTTATAGCATAATAAACATTATTTGAACCTCATATTAAACATAGGTATGCATATTTATGATAGTCATTTAAAATTTAAAAACTTTTTATATGTTGTCTTTTTTTTTTTTTTTTGTCTTTTGTCTTTTTTTCCGTGTCCGGCAACGGATCGCAACCCTCAGTGTTGCCCCCGTACCGGACTGGGGACCGGCAACGGGATTGCAAACCTTGGCGTTGCTCCTGTGCCTCACTCAGCCAGTGAGTGGGAACCGGTCTGTATGTGGGATCCGAACCCTCGGGCGGGAGCGCCGCCGCGCCTCCCAAGCGGCGCACTATCCAGTGCGCCACCGGGCCGGCCCCTATATGTTGTCTTTTGTAACACGTATTTAATATTTTTAGTATTTGGAGATCAATTTTCAAACCTTTAGGAATAACAGTATAAAACCATAATAAGTTTTGAATATATTTTCCTCCTTTAGAATTTATTCACTTGATTAGGAAATGAATGATCAACATTAAAATTCGCATTCCACCTTCCATTAACTCTTATAACTTACTTAATGTTATAAGTTGTGTTTGTGACAAACATAGTTAAGAAAAATATATAGGAGTAGCTGGTTATTTCTTAAGATTCCTCATGAACATTATATACTTTGTGGCTCAAATTTATGTCCTGAGTTGGCTTTTTTTAGTCATCCAGCACCAGAGTACTTTGGCTCTGTAATTCAAGTATATCTATGTGTATGTATATATAAAATTAATTTGAATTATATAAATTACATTGAATTATATAATATGTATGTGTACATATATGTATTTATGTGTGAGTATGCCTAGAAGTACAATTTTCTATAAAATTAGTTACCATCAGTTTTGATTGAAATCCTTAATTAGTATGTGTATAACATAAAACATCATTCTGGATTAGCATGGATAGTTGAGCTTTGACCATGTTACTTGCATTGATAAGCCAAAATTAATTGAGAGCCTGTTTTTGAATGTACCATAATAGTAGGTATGACTGTAGTTTCAGAATCAAACTTCTGAAGTATTGTGATCTGGTAGAAGGATTATACCTAAATCATAATCAGATGACTCTTGGATTTAGTATATGGGGGGGAGGAATTCTGAAATTATCTTTAGTAACTTATGTTCATTTCTGTGATCTGATCCACTGAAATCATAAACTCATCTTCTAAATCTTTTTTGTAGGAAATTTTGGGAACGATTTATTGCCCTGTGTCATGAAAATAATAGCCTACATGGAATCAGTTTTGAACAGATCAAGGCTCAGTTAGAGGCTTTAGAACTAAAGAAGACATATGTGTTGAATCCACTGGCACCTGAATTTATCCCCCGGGCTCTAAGACTGCAGCATTCAGGAAATCCCAACAAACAGCAGCAGTCACCACCCAAGGTAAAGCCTATTTACGGAATTGAAGAGGTTAAAGGGAGAGAACAGCATAGAAATGTCAAAGGTTTATTGGGCTGCAGGTTTCTTTAAGTATTGGAATTGAAGGTTGCATTTGCCTGCAAGCAGTTTCTGCAAGGAACTTGTCTAGATTTGGACATGTAAGTGAAAATAGGTGTGGTGTTTTGCCATACTTAATATCATAACCATCCTCAAAAAGTTTTTAAGTACCTGATAATTTCTGGTACCCTTTATGTAATGTAACCTCCCAGTCCTCTCTACTGATAGACTTGTTTTAGCAAGATGTGATTAAAACAAAGCAGTTTGGAAGATTATCACACTTATTAAAAACATGTCTTCACAATGTATTATTTACAAGGAGTATTATATAATAGCAATATTTGTATAATGAAAATAACTAATCCTTTATTGATGATTGATTCATTTCAAGTGGTATTTGACACAGTGAGAAAATTTGGCCAACTTCTTGAAAATGACTTTGATTTTTAAAAAAATTTATTTTTTAATTGAAACATATTAATTGTACATATTTATGGGGTACAAAGTTATATTTTAAAAACATGTACATAAAGTGTAATGATCAAATCAGGGTAGTTAGCAAATTTATCATTGCAAAAATTTATTTTTTCTTTGTGATGAGAATGTTTGAGCTCTTCTAGCTGTTTGAGTTATTTTTCCTATCTAACTGTAATCTTCTGTCTATTAACCAAATTTGTTGTGTAAGTGTCCAGCCTGAGGGAGTGGTGATGGGAGAGTCAAGGCTATTTCCACTTTTGAACCATAGTTATTTTGGACAGAGACAGCTGGCTTATTTGCTAGAGTGCCTGAAAAAAAATGCTTCCCTTACCTGCTAGAAAACGAAGTTCTGATAATGGCATGTTTAGTTTTTGTTCTGTTTTTTTTTGTGTGAATTTATAGTCATCAGCATGGTATTAAACTTACTGACATGAATTAAAAGAGTGTGTCACTTTTGAGCTTCATTTGAAAAAATATAAAACTAATGTGTAAGCAGCAATTAATGGTTTAATATTTTGAAAATCTTTTAGCTAAATAGGTATTTAGCTGAAAAGATAACTACTTTTTGTGTTGATATACTATTATTTTTAGTTTAATGAAAATGGACCTAATGTGCAGTACTGCTTTAGTGACTTGGCATCATTAGGGGATTAAACATTCTTTTTTTTTTTGTCTTTTTGTCTTATTATTTTTCCGTGTCCGGCAACGGATTGCAACCCTCAGTGTTGCCCCCGTACCGGACCAGGGACCGGCAACGGGATTGCAAACCTCGGTGTTGCTCCCACGCCTCGCTCAGCCAGTGAGCGGGAGCCGGTCTGTATGTGGGATCCGAACCCTCGGGCGGCAGCGCTGCCGCGCCTCCTAAGCGGCGCACTATCCAGTGCGCCACTGGGCCGGCCAAGATAACTACTTTTTGTGTTGATATACTATTATTTTTAGTTTAATGAAAATGGACCTAATGTGCAGTACTGCTTTAGTGACTTGGCATTATTAGGGGATTAAACATTCTGCACAAATGAATCTTCTAGATTTCTGAAGCTTAATCTATTAGGTGTTGATATACTATTATTTTTAGTTTAATGAAAATGGACCTAATGTGCAGTACTGCTTTAGTGACTTGGCATCATTAGGGGATTAAACATTCTGCACAAATGAATCTTCTAGATTTCTGAAGCTTAATCTATTAGCAAATTAATAATTTATTTATTAAGCAGTTAAGTTTCTTCTATTTGCCAGATGTTATGGTAGGTGTCAAAGAAGTATATAGATAAGCAAATTAGCCCCTGAGTCCTCCCATGGCAGGTGTTGGAGGGGGTAGAGGGATGATGGTCAGAGGAGATAGGTGGATTCAAGGCAATTTCCACCATGGAGATCTTGTTCAGGAGTTTATCGGATAGATGGAAATAGTGGGAGATGTGGAAACATGTCAAAAACTAGAATATAAATTCAATTAGGGCAGGGATTTTTGGCTGCATTATTTCCAGCGCTAGATTCTGTGCCTAGAATAATATCTGGCTCATAATAGGTACTTAGAAGTATTTTTTAAGTGAATGAGTGAAGCTTAAGTGAATGAGTTAAGCTTATACAAAAGGCTGGTGGTGTGAGAGAACAGATGATATATCTAGAGGGGACAGCAAGTAGCCTAGGATATGCAAGGAGTAGGAAATTCAGGTAGAAACTTCTTAATTTTATTTTTTTTTAATTTAAGATGTTGTGAAATCATTATATCCTTTTGCACATTCTTAAATATAATAGAGTAACTACAATAGAGTAAACTCTTCTTAGTTAATTGAGCAATATAAACATCAATTAATATACTGTAATGAAGTTAGAGTCAAGCCATGATACCAAATGTGTACTAAGCCTAAGCAAGATGCCGCAATGTGCTTTTTGTTTTTGGTTTAAAGGTGAAGAATATATGTTGAATCCATTTGCTTTTCTAAAACCATAACTCCCTGAGGACAAAAATTGTATTCTGTATACTTTTTATGACCCCTAGTGCCTGGCCCCACTCTGCACATAGTGGGTGCCCAGTAAGTATCTCATAAGTGATTAATGGTTATGGTGCATTCAGTAGAGTGTGATGTAGTTTTGTTCTTTCAATGAGAAGATAGTGTAATTAAAGGCCAAGGCAGCCAGCCATCTTCCAATTTTTTTTAAAACTTTTTAGAAAATTTTTACTGATCTTATAGATGTCCTCTGTTATTTTCTATGTTGCTAACGCAGTAGTTCACCAAATTATTCATGCACCTGGGTATTTAAAATAATTGATTTTTTATACTCATGATATAAATAATCAGTAATTTTATATAACTGAGGTATAGTGAGCTATAGGTTATCTTTGTCACCGTATCTCCCTCTTCTCAGTATTTTATTTAATTTCCATTAAATTGTTTTGTGAAGTTTGAATTTATACTGAGTCTTTGTTTTAATTTAACTTTCTATTGTGGAAAATTTCAAAAATATACATAAGTAGAGAGAGTAATTTAATGAATCAATTCCTTGTCATCCAGCTTCACTGATTAACAACTTGATCTTATTTTATCTATATCTCACTGCCCGCACCCCACCACCACCACATACACACACCAGAGAATTTTGAAACAAATCCCAGTTATTATATTTCATGTGCTGGAGTATGTGCTTTTGATGAAGGGGAATTTATTTCATTAGTAGAAAAGGATGATATTTCTGAAAATGTGATACTAAGCCATACAGTTTTTTTCACTTTCTTAATATTAACACAATTCTGTGCGTAAGAAATGTCAAAAATTGGTATCTTTAATGTTAGACTATGATTTAAAATCCTTGTAAGATTTCATATAGATAAAATCATCAAAAGTCTGTATGATGATTAAAAATGCTCTGAGACCTGCTTCCTCATAGCTGTATTTGGCAACAAAACATTCCCCTAGCAATCAAATAACTTCATTGTCTTCACTAAGATTTCAGTTCTATGATAAGGTTTAGTCAAGGTACAAAATATTAGGGGATCCAGGAGTAGGCAGTCTTAGATAGCACTTCAGTGCCTCAGTCTCCCTAGGTATTATTTATAGCAATGGGTATGTTTCATGATAGCCTGCAGAATTAGCACGTAGAAAAACAATTTGTCTCTCTTCAGTCTGCATATTCCTAGGGCACTTCTGGGAGCAATGTTTGGAAGCTTTGCTAAAATAGACCATTCGTTTGCACATAGTATGAAAACTACTCAGAGGATAGATAATATTCAGAAATGGCTTCTCTGAAGATCGTAGCATTATTTGATAGTTTTTTGTTTTTGTATGCTAGTTGTTTTCACCATCTATATATCTAGCTGCTACTGTTATGTTTCACTGTTTTCATCAGAAAGCATACTAGTCTTTTTTACCTCAGTAGCTCAGTGCCCAGCCAGGATGGACATATGGTGGGCCCTCAGTAAACATTTGTTGAATGAATATATGGGAAAAAAGAATGAGTGAATGAAAAAGTAAATGTTTCAATGAATAAATGGTAGATGATATGAACTACATTTGTTTATAAAAAATAGATATGAACTACATTTGCTTATAAAAATCCTAGCATTGGGCCGGCCCGTGGCTCACTTGGGAGAGTGCGGTGCTGATAACACCAAGGCCCCGGGTTCGGATCCCATATA